GCCATTGCCTGTCCACTGCTGAACATAGGCATTCTCTTTGAGGGATTCTGTCAGTAGTTGCCACGCTTAGCAGGTGGAATGGCAACCACAGTTAGCGCTTGGTTTTAAGAAGGACACTGCTACTCATTCTTCGACTATTGAGTTCCCTTAGTCACCTCTTATGACACCCACGGGAAAGGAAGAGGTGCCCATTCTATGTCGGGACCACACGAATTGAATTTCTAATTTATTTTTTTTATTTTTTAAAAATTCTTATTTCTTAAAAGTGGAGTGGAGTATGTGAACCATAAAAAATCAGCCATAACCTTTAGTATTGCTTGTGAAAAATTATCCTTGTTTGTGTGTGCATACTGTCTGTGTTCCTAATTTAGTTTAAATCCGTTTAGCCATTTAACTTGTATAGGTTAACAGGCTTTCAAATATCTTTAGAAATTTTTAATAATACAATAAAATTTTGTGCTATAGGTATATATCTAGTATATTGCAGGTTTAATTCTCCCAGTTGTTATGAATTGCCATGGTTGACATTGAAGCAGTGCTCTCGAACTTCTGAACATCGATCTGCTCTTCAATTTGAACTCAACAAATTTTCAACGTATATATGGATATTGTAGTTATAAAACAGATCAATAAAGTCAGATGTATATTAACATTATAAATTACAATAAAGGTTAATCAAAATCGGTTCATAATTTGAGAAATTATCGCGTAACGTATAAAAATATTTTGAATTGAGAATTCTCTTTAGGTATTTAAAAACTGGCTGGCTGAAATTGATATAAAATAAACTTAACATATATAATTGGAGATCAAATAATTACACTGAAATTAGAGTGCATTTGATCAAATTATGCATTTGGTAGTAACCTACTTGTGATGTATCACTCAATTTACATTATAAATAAATAAAAAAATATATGACGTCTGGATATGAACTTTCATATTTAGGTGCTTCGAATAAATCAATTCCACGCATACCCTTTCCATTAGGAAGAAAGTGTTTATTTCTTTTAATTTTTATTCATGACAAAATATATTTTTATAATTAATTATACATTGTATTCTTATATTATATGTAAAAGGTTGAATAGATAAATTAAGAAAGATTTACTATTAAAACAGATGATCATGATACAGTTTATTTTATAAAGTACGTATACACAAGAATTAGTTGAAGCACATTTATATGGTTGGGTTGTCTGCATTTACTTAGTTGTACAACCGTCTAATTTCTACGAAGTATTCATTGAGATTAGAAAGAGCATCTACTAATTAAGTTCTGTAGCATAGAAACGTCAGCAACATAGTGAAGAAAATAGAAAATGTACGTATTTGTCGTTTAGATATAGGAAGAGACACTTTGATCACCATAGAAAGGACCACCCCTTTATTTTCCATGGGTATCGTAAGAGACGACTAACGGTATTTAAAAGCCGAAGGATGGGTAGCAGCATTCCTCTTAAAATATATCCGAAAGCGTAACTGCGGTTGCTAAACCGCCTTCCATTCGTGGCAGCTATTGGCAAAAATCCGCTTATGGGGGAGGCCTATGTTCAGCAGTCGACCTTTAACGGCTGATACGAATATGATGAAAAATACAAATATTAATAATTACAAAGGCGGCCTTAATGCTAAAAGCAATATTATACAGACAAAGTACTGAGATTACAGAGTCTAATATGGATCTACTCAGAGTTTATTTCAACAGATATACGCCGATCGATTTAAAGTTACTACTACTAACGATTAATGTATATTTAACATTAGAAGCTTAATATTGATTTTAAATAACCCTGATACGTATATAAGTTATAAATATCGTATCAGTAGGTATTTATTTATTTATTAAAAAAAAAACCATAATGTTTTGCAAATAAAATTAACAATCATTTTAGTATGGCCTATAATAGATTTTTCTAAATTAAATTTTGTAGATTATGTAGTTGACAATTGTTAAAGAAGAAATAAATAAATAAACAAATCAAACAGATAGGCCGTTGACATCATAATATTTATAGGTAATATTAACATAATAGGTACAATTTAAAATTAGTTACTAGTATATTTTCAGATCGTATTCCACAGAAGAAACCAATTTTATTTGCGGCAAAATCGATTACTTTGATTTACTTAAATATTAAACTCGTTTTGATAGAATTTCTATTGAAATAATCTGTAAGTACACCGTTTCAGATAAAAAATATTTTCTTAAATCGGTTTATAACTAACGAAGTTATAATAAATACAAGGGAAGTTATAACATAAAAAATATATAGCCCAATTTATAACCTTCTTCTTTTTGAAGTCACTTGAAAATGGACAGCTTTCCATTGGACTTAATCACAAACATAAACACTATCAGAAGTTCACTACAGACTATCGGATTTGCATAACTAATTAATTAGGTAGGTATGCTTAGTTCTGCAGTCTCATGAGCACAAGGGATACGATACGATACATTATGGAATTAGTTCAATAAAGGGATCAAATTAGTTTGTAGGAATAAAGAGAATATTGTAATAAAAAAAAAATTGCAAATCAATTAAGTCAATGTATGTGATGTATATGTGAACTATAAAAACTGCAGAATTATTAATTAGTAGCAATTCGATCTTGCTTCGCACGGGTGTAAAGAATTTTCTAAAACAATATATGTAGATATAGTCTATATTATTGGTTGATAATATATCTTTCATTAGGAATAAGAATTTTTAAAATCCGTTGAATATTTTCTTTAGTATATCCATTATAAACAAATAAAAAATAATCATATCTTTCGTTTTTATAATATTTATTAAATAAAGTTAATTATAGTAATGTTATTTCGGTCACTTAATTTTTAGAAATTTAAAGAATCATTGTAATTTATTTGGTGATTATTTTTTAATTCACTATACTATTAGTTGCTACTTTTCTTTTGTAGTGTGTGTTCACATTTATGATATTTATATGTAATTAACTCGAGTATATCGGGGATTGTCACGCGAACAAACAACATGACCTAACGTTGCATTCCAAATAAAAAAAAAAACATAGATATATTGATATGTATATTCATTCAACCACTGACACCATATAAATTACGTAACGACAGTGGACGGTATTATTGTCTCAATGTCACGGTGAGTCGATTCGTCGAAAGCCTATTTCCTCAAAGGGTTTGTACTTACATATTCGTTTGGATAGCGTATTTTGCGTCTTTGTCAAGCATGATAAACATTCCACGTTTACGGATCAACTAAACAGTCCAGGATGTACGAGTTGAGTAAAGTTTGATTTACATGAGCTTTAGACTAATATAAAGCTCCAAAAATGTATATTGTTCTACTGATTAGACACTGATATTTTTTTTGTACAAGGACGTTAAACAGGAATACAATACGCCTGGTGGTTCCTGTAGCCTACGAACGTTTGCTATACCAGGGATTTTACGTGAGCATCATATGCGCACGAGTTTTATGACTATTTCAATGATATAATAGAATAATACATTTAGGACCACAAAAGTACCGCCTTTTGTTGTGATGAAATAAATGTAGACATAACATAGAATTACTTCTTTCTAGAGTTTACACTCTATCAATTACAAAATGAATTTTAATTAATTATGTGAAATCCTTAAAAAATGCCAAAACATTGCTTAATGTATATGAAATAAAATACAAAGTTGAAAACCATCTTCTTTTTGATATTACTTCAAAAGAGACACAGATTAATTAAAAAAGAAACAATACAATAAAAGTTCGTTCCATCAACGAAAAAAAAATAGATCTGCGTTTGTTTTTCTACAACGAATAGTATTCTACATAGGCAGATAGAAGATTCGTCTGATATACCGAAATGCTGATAAAAACTCAATCAAGTACCCCACTTAGATGGCACAAAGATTTTTATGAGCTACATATTTTAGCTATACATGAAATATTATATGACTAAGGGATATAGACTAAATTTTATTACATTTATTCCATGTACTTATAAGCTTATATGAAATTATATATACCTTCAGTGAATATAGTCTAGCAATTGTAGATACAGATATAATGCTATTACTACTAGATATTAATCAACATGTTATGTACTTACATAATTATCAGGTTTAGCAATTATACTCTACATTTACGTAAAATAATAATGACATTTAGATTAAATGTATTTCTAAAACAGCATTATAAGATCAACATAAACTATTAAGAAAATTGGCACTATCATAAACTGTTCTTTTTTATTTTTTAGATAAAAGAACATAGTTTGTCTCCTATAAGTAAGTATGATATCAGCCGTCTGCTGTTCACTGCTGATTATAGGCCTGCCCTAAAAGAAGGATTTTGCCAGTAGTTGCCAATCTTGGCTGGCGGTTTAGTAACCGTCTGACTTTGATTATGTATACCCACGGGAAAGGAATGGGTGGTCTATTTTATGTCGGGATCACATGGCAATAATATGTACTTATATAAAATTAGAAACGTCACACGGGTACGTACACTTATTGTTAATACAACTTTCGAAGACAGTTAAAATATATTTATATTTGTAGAAGCGCAGTATTTTTGTAGCATTTCCCCAACGTAAAATATTCAATTAATATAGAAGATGGAAACATTTATTGATGATAATGATAAGGCAATAGATTGTGGTAACGCAGTTGACAAATCCATTACAAGAGCATTTGATTTAGCATGGGGATTTGTTGTTCCCAAAGGAATCTCGGGACATTTATTAGGTAAAACCACGATCGATCAAAGTCTTTCTGCTTCATTAATCTTGCTCATCAGCCAACGCGACGGTATATTTTCTACAAGATATGCCCATTTTCCCTATTTCGTTAATATAAAAATATTTCGTTGACAATGTGTCGCATGATGTCGCTTTGGTCTAAAATCGAGTGTACGATAGAATTGAAACACGCGATGGCGGTATATATGCTATTGCAACAGAAAATCGTTGTTTTTCATACAGTAACAGTAATTGCTTTGTTCTCTGTAGTATAGGTAGTCTGTTTTAGCTATATATTCTATATTTAATGAGATTTGTATTATTTGATAAATCCCTATTTGCCATATGCCATCAAACAAATATATTTATTGTAATTCTAATATTATCTAATATATTACTCATCAAACTGGGATACTTTCTTTTTCGCATTAGATAAGTTAGCACATTTTATTTATTATTATTTAAATTACTAAGACAATTTTAAATTTAATTTATTTATTTATCAACTAAAAAATACTTTTTTTTATAGGTGATAATAAAATAGTGACCCCACCCGCGCAATCGGTATACGCTGATAGAGCACCAGTGAAGGATGATAGACGAGGATGAAACAGGTGAGTTGGCCCATTGTCACAAATTCAACGAGAATTGTTCACGATGGTTTCCAGGGGGAACCACGTGGAAGTCACATAGGGCATATTGCTAGGAATGCGGCTGTCAAACTCCATTGCTAACAATCCCTTTCCCCCACTAAAAAGACTTGACAATTTCTCAATTTGCTTCTTTAGCACTCACAATATTAGAAACATAGTAAAATTTTATTATTGGACAATAAATAATAAATAATTTATTGCCATTCTGCGAAATTTAACAAGTTTACAAATTAATGTATTCAAGTCTAGATACTGGCTCATGACAACTTTAAGCGGAGTCAATGCCAGTCAGACAAACTCTATTCTTCTCAATGGTACATGGAAAAAGTTCCTTTAACGTGCTCAAGCATAGTTAGAAGGCGCTCGATAGATATTGATGCCAGGATGCTCTAATTATATTTATACACTTGAAATTTAAAATACTTAATGCTTTTAAAATACATTTAGTACAAGCTAATTTCCATTTCACATCAAGTGAGTTATATTCTACCATGCCAAATAAGAACTTACTGTGGTATATAGTGGGATACGTAGAATATTATCCATACTGTTTTTGATACAGCCACCTTATAAATTTTCTTTACATTTTCTTCACCATGTGTATATTTTTTTACTTATCTGGATTCCAGATAATTGTATAACTTTGTAATTTATTGTGAACGAAGGAGTTATAGAACATTTTGATGGCCTGTATACAATTTTGTTGCTGTGATTGTCACAACACAAATCCAAGGGTTCCAAATGCCTGAGTACATAATGCAGTAATATGGTTTCATAATAAATATCTATCAATACATATAATAAAGTCGTAACTGATCGCTGTCTGTACATGGAAGATGTATAAAAAAAAATATTACAGAGGGGCTTTATGTACGCAATAGAACCCAAAACAATGATTTTTAGAATTTTTTGTCTGTTTGTCTGTTTTTATAGGTTTGTGCACGCTAATCTCAGAAACGGATTAACCGATTTGAATAGGGTTTATACTAATGTGTTGCGGTTTGCTCCACTTAACATTTAGTGTATGTTTTATTTTAATCGGTTCATAAATAAAAAAGTTATATCAATATATAGAATCACATATAAAATGCTATAAAATAACCGACCAGTTGATGTGGCTAAAACTTACTTTATGAAGGTATTAGTTATGTAATTATCATCTAAGTGTATAATATACAATAATATAAAATCAGATTCATGAAGAGTTCCAATGGGAATTATATACGGGAACTACATAGTCAGAAAACGGTTAGTATGATAATAAATTACATCATTGGCTTGAAACGGAAATCATTAAAATTGTTGTACAATTTTCTTAAATTAAATAATTTATGCTTATAAAGATTTATTTGAGGTGGCAACAATCAGTTTCTTTTGATAAACAACGAAATACGGAGAACCGATATAGAAAAAATAAACAACGACAAATAAACTACAGAGGAATACGGACTATTGAAGGATCTTATTAGTGACTTGGGTTGTTAACCTTAGACTTTCAATACAAGTATTTGCGACATTGAATGAAAACATAGTTATATTAAGGTACTCGTTTGATATTACTTTGACGTTAAAATGAACTAAAAAAACATTGAAAGTACAAAATATGAGTATACATATGTATATAAAAAAATTACACGATATAATATTTATAATATGTTCACAGTATTACTAAAACGCTTGACTTTTATCATTGTTATTTACTATTTTATATTATACTATAGTATTTTTATACTATAGTACTATTCAACCTTTTTATGTTTGTGCCCATATTAATTTGTTTCGTGTTCTTAATTTCGTTCTTAAATTTATTAACAAAATTGTAAATTAAGAAAACACTTCCAAGAGAAAAAATATGTCCAAATAGTATTTTGTAGTATAAATTACAAAAAAAAGAAGAATAAAATATTTTTACATGTTTCAATTAATATTTTTTTTTTAAATATAATTATTATATTATATTATTATTATATTATATATATATATGCTATCACAAAATTTTCCGTTATAACGGAAAATTTATATATATATATATATATATATATATATATATATATATATATATATATATATATATATATATATATATATATATATCGTTAACAAATGATCATAAGCTTTAAAAATAATATAAGCTTTATAAATAATTAACTCACATTTGTTTTTAATGTTACTTTCATGCAAACTATGGAAGGGATGCTTAGAATATTGTTTGTATAACCGATAACAATAACGGCAAATAAAACTATTAAATAGTTGATCCTTTACAGAAAAAAATTATGTAGACGACTACCACTTCTTTGAAAGAAACATAGAAAATGTCGGGAGACGATAGATATAAGTAACTTAGGACAATTTTTTACGACGAATTTTAGTTACAATATCTATAAACTGGTCCAATAACGAATATGTTAAAAGAATGTTTAAAAAAAAAAAATGTTTGGATAACAGACTTTTAACATATTCGAAAATAGATATTCGACTGATATGTGCTATATCGAAATGAGGATTGCCTTTTTTCTGCTATCATTGACTAAAGGAATTCAATATATACATATCGAATCGGTATCTATATTATCTATGTCTAATAAATAAGATAGTGTTACTAAACAAATTGTTATTAATGTTACAAAGACGATGCTCGTCATCCGTTACAATGGTTGTTATTTTCACAGATTTCGTTATTAAATTGTAAGATCCGAGATTTCAAAGCATATTTAACTAATATTGGTTACCCTCTGTATGTTATTTACCCTTTATTACGTTCTTCAAAGGTCCTACTAATCTTATCTAACGTCTAAGGTCGGGTACGTTTGGGACAATCCAATCTCATGGGAGCTTTTGTGTTTGCACTTCGCTCGGAAACTATATATTTACATAACTTAAAATATTACCGAAGGCTTCTGATCTACTGATATTTGAATTGTATATAAAGAACACAAGAAGAATGTTATTATAAACGAATTACGTTTATAATGACATTGTTGAAAGGATATAAAAATATTTTTTTATTTATTTTACACTTTATTGCACCAAGTAAAAAAATAATAATGAGTATTTATTTATTTATTTTGTGATACATAGGTAACAATGGATGGTAAAAACAATATAAGTCCTCTATGATCAACCCCATCTATCGAGGTATAGAAATTTACAATTACATAAGAAAAAAATTATATTATATAAAAAGAAAAATCAGCAATGTCACATTTATAGTAAAAAAATATAATTATGGAACTTTATTACATTTATCTTCAAGGATCATAAAATAGTATATTTTTTTATATTATTTTATGTCATCTATGTCTGTTATTTTATTATATATCCTAGGTGCCATCCCTAACACTAAAAAATGTTGTTTTGAAATAATTTTGTGTATATTTTTTAACGTATATTTATATTATTTTTATAATTAATAAGAAGTGATACAAAAGGCGGCCTCATCGTTAAGCAATGTCTTCCAGACAACCTTAGGATTAGATTAAATTAACCTTAGGATGTAAAAAATACTAACTGAAAACATGATACATAATTTATTCTATGTACTAGCTTTTATTCACGACTTCGTCTGCGTAACTGGGATGTATTTAATGACCGAAAAAAAAATAACTCATATTCTTCTCTATCTTATGTAGTACGTGTATACCAAATTTTATAGTGATTGGTTAAGCCGTCAGGGTGCTAGAAGGTGACAAACAAACAAACTTATTTTCACATATATAATATTAGTATGTATACTGCTCGCATTATTGCAATGTACTGTTGTTATACGAGTAGATCTCTTGAAATATTAGACGTATCACGTATCGCTCTGATAATACAAGTAGGTATGGTTAATTAACTGCAGTCTTCTATAAATTGGAAATGCTTCATCAGTCAAGCAACCGCATGATCATCATGCGTAGAATTCTTATGAAACATAGCGAACACTGTGTAGCAAATGTATTTTACTGCACTAGGTGTTATTTAGCAGAAGTTCATGTCACTGAATCATCATCATCATTTTAGCCATTATTCGTCCACAGCTGGACATAAGCCTCCCCCATAGATTTCCGTAAAGAACGGTCCTGAGTCACTTGCATCCATTGACTCCAATTTCATTAAATAGTTGATTAAAATTATTTTGTTCAATTCATTCAATCAGTAAAAGTTCTACGATAAATTAGAGCAAGGATAGATAGCAGTAATGTTCTACGATATCGAACATTGCTGCTATCTCTCCTGCTAAATAGTCAGTCACTTCTATTATTGTATTCACTCATAAAGTACTGCATTTCCTCTAAGTACCACTAAAGTTCAAATTCAAACAAAAAGTTACAATTATTGAAGTTTCAGTGACTATGTAAATCAAAGGCGCCGGCATGCAGTGTCAATCAGACTAATTACTATGCGGTCCACCCTTCAATTTATGGTTGTCGAGAAGCGTTTACTAACTATGGTAATTGATCTGCTCGCTCATTTGAATTAATAAACGCTTTTACGCAGGAAGAAAGCATGGCGTGTGATAAATAACGATTGGACTTGTTATATCCAATGCACCATCAAATTTACAATCCAGCGCTTGTAACGTGTTTATAATATATATCGTGCATTTTCTCAATATTTATTTATTATAGTAAGGAATTCTTTATTTAAATGTCATCGGCGTAGATAAATAACTAAATAACTCTATGTATATCATTATGAGGTAGTTGTTATTTATTATTTCTTCTTTTGTTATAATTTCTTTATTAAAGTAAGTCAGCTCAATTATTTCTCAAATCTTTAACGATTATTTATTTGCCTCACGATAGTTATTATTTAGTTGAATTTATTTATTCTTTATTAAAGTTTATACAAATGGTGAGCTTAATACCGTATGTGATTATATACCAGTTAACTATTAGACAAAAATAGAAATTATTCAACCTTTATTTAATATATATATATATATCTGATGGTCTTAACAATAATATTTTAAAAAA